GTGCCATCAAAACGTCGAAACGAAAGTCGAAGCAGAACGACACTGTTTCACACAGCCCTATTATGCACGTCTGATTTTGTTACTCTATAAGGTGCATCTCTATCATGTCTTCTGCTGAATGCCTACATTGACTAGGTCCTGCATGAGGGAATCATCTCCTAGCCCCCTGGGACTCACTGTGGGATCCCTGCCTAGGCAGCATGGGCGACTGGTGCCTCCTGAGTCACGGTGGTCACTTGCCTTCCCAGCAGCCAGTCAGTGACCGGGGGTGGTAATCACCCTGACCCAAAAGTGCCAGCAGCGTGCCAGCAGCTGCACATGCACCTCTGTGCACCCCCTACATGTCACCACTGCTAGGCAGGCCAAAAGGAATTCCCCACCACACCTACAGATGAGTCTGTATTGCACCCTGATCCCATGAGCCACCAGGGACCTCAGCTGATGGAACCTCCACAGAGCTGTTGCCACAGGCAAGCATCTGTAATGCTTCACAGACACCCCCAACGCAGGCAAAGGAAGCAGGGGGAGACCCTGGCACATGCCTATCTGGAGTGCACCAGGCTGCAGCCCTTCCAACACCTCCTTCAGAATCTCTGCTGAGGGCCTGGCTGCACTATTCCCTGCACCTTTTCATTTATGCACTCCCCATCCATGGTCCCACCAAGTCCCAGGACCTCCTGGTCAACCTCCTCCAGGCCCAGCTTAGCTGGCAATGTTCCTGACCAGGAAGGAGGTTCTGGCTGGGAGGACCCCTGGGGACTATGGGGCTGCTTTCTTGTCCCTAGTCCATTCATGTTTCCGGGCAATTTCGCTAGGCAGTGTCCACTAGCTCCTTGGACTTGTTCAAGGACCAAGGCACTGTCTGGTGTGCTCTGCTCAGTGTCCCCCCTTGGTGCACTCATTTTGATCTTCTGCCCTTCACTCACATCCCTGTTTTGTTTTTCAGTTGTCCCAAGAGATCCATGATGTGCCCTTAGTGTGACCCCCCCCCCCCCAATCAAGGGGGACTTATAGCTTTATTTGTGGGCTTTGGCCCACAATCTGGAATGACACATCTAAAGGCTGGGCAACCCATTGCCACCACATCTACACACTCGTGGTCTGCACCCTTTATCATCCTGTCCTTGTGTCCTGCCCAGAAACTATGTGGTGAGACACCCTCAGTGAAGACAAGGATCCCTGATGGACGAGCTTCTATTCCAGCCTGATCCTGTGAGCCACTGGGGATCTCAGCTGGTGGTTCCTCCATGGAACTGTTGCCACAGGCATGTACCTGGCATGCTTCATGCATACCCCCGACACCTCCCCCTTCTGTGAGCAGAGGGAGACCCTGGGACATGCCTAACCTGAATGCACCAGGCTGCAGTCCCTTCACCACCTCCTCCAGAATCTCCTGCTCCCTCACTACTCCCTGCACCTTTTCATTTATGCCCTCCCCATCTGTGGTCCCATCAAGTCCCAGGACCTACTGGTCAGCCTCCTCCTGGCCCTAGCCAAGTTAGCAATCTACTTGATCAGGAAGGAGGCTCTGGCTGAGGTGACCCTCAGGGACTGCAGGGACATCTTCCTGTTTCTGGTCCATTCAGGTCTCTAGGCAGAGTTTCACTGGGCAGTATCTACTCTGCTGGCTCCTTGGACTCATATGAGGGCCAGTGGGCACTGTCCAGCATATCTTGCTTAGTGTGCCCCCTTGGTGCATTTACTCTGAACATTTGACCTTCACTCCCGTTCCTGTTTTGTCTTTTATTTGTCCCACAAATTCAGTTAACACATACCCGATAGCCCCTTCTATTAACGGGGGCGGGGGGGAACTGTTGCTCTGTGAGCATAAGGCTCATGTTCCGAATATGTGTCAAACAGCCCTGTCTTCTGCTGAAGAGACCTATACCATTGCCTATTTTGTCCTAAAGACTAGGTGCTTTCTTTTGTGGATCCTGAAAACTGAGTTTTAATACAACTGGGTTCCTCATGTTCCCATACAGACAGAGTTGGAAAGGCAGTCTGGATCCTAGGTCAATGGGAGGTCCCATTGGTCCCACCCTCCATTTGTATGGCAGTAATGTCTGCCCCATCCAGTAAGGCAGTGCTAGCAGCGTGGGTCCCCGTTCTCTTCCTAAGTACTTGTCCCAGGACCTGTGGTATATTTGCTAATGTAGTAAGCTACCTCCTCCTCCCACCAGCCCCCTGCACGGTGGATCTTGGAGCTAAAACAGTATGAGAGCAATACTCTGTCTCGCAGCTGTTGCCCCAGGTTATAGGGTATGAAAGAAAAGTAGAAGTTGAAAACATAGCTGAAGCAAATCACACTGGCAGCTGCACAGAGACAAGTAGCCCAGGTTGTAAAAGTGTCATTAAATTGCCCCTGCCTATTTTGGGGTGGTGGGGCACATCTCTTTAAGGGCTGCATCATGTTTGCAGCTTTTTGAACACAGGATGTGACTTCCTGTGGCATAACCCATCCATGTGCTCATGGCCTGGGCTCTTCGTAGACTTGGGGAGGTATCACTTATGCTGGTCAGGTTTTCAAACTAGGAATGATAGATGTTTACTTTTTATGTTGATGAAAGCTGACATTTTGGTGTAATCATGTAGCTCCAGAAACTGGGGCCCTAGGCAAGGGTCTGTGCCTTCTCCAAACCACAAGTCACATCAGAGATGCCCATGGTTGGGAGAAAACTACAATCCCCAGGGGGTGTTGACAGCATGGCCTCTACTTCTTCTTACTTCTTAGACCTTTTGTACAGACCTAGGATTGAAGGGGCAGAAAAGAGTTGAAGGCCAGGATATCTAAAACGGAGAGTTTGCAGCTACTGCAACTAGCGTCAGAAAAAGGAAGAAGCTGATGGACCTAACATTTCTTTGTGGAGATTGATTAGGTTATGAAAAATAAGAGGGCAATTACATTTTAAGTTTTCAAGTAGTTTATGTCTGAGGTGTTAGCCAAGTGTTGGTCATGTGACTTGGGTTTGCTTAGCTACAAGACCCGGGAACAGGGAGAAAACCATCACGGACAGATTTAAAAAAAGAGACGTTTTAAATGTTTCTCCTGCAAAACGTAGGAACTTTTTGTTCTTTTTAAATGATATCAGAAACTGACCTCGTCTTGGCAGAGCACATTTAGAGCCCGCATTTTGCTCGCTCAGGTGTGAAAAAGAAGACGGAATCCCTCTTTCAGTGCAAATGTCAGAGCTGTTCCTCTTAGCGCCTCAGTGCCGCTATCAGAGAGCACAGCTGCGCAAGTGAGCCGTCTGCCCGCGTTTCCGTAGCAGTGTTTGTCAGTCAGCTCCCTCCGGACCTGGGGCTGGGTCTCCCCGGTGCCTCAGGCTCTACCCTTCTCCTTCCAGGCCGGCGCTGGCCCCGGGAGCTGCGGTCGCGCAGCTCGGGCCGCACGCCCGCACCCCCACCCCTCGCACCTTCCCTTCCCTTCCCGCGGCGGCGCAGGCCGCAGTACCGGGCGGGGG